ATCAACTGAGTGAAACGAGCGTGCACGGGAGGACTGGCTGTTGCAGTTTTTCGAAATTTAAAGCATCAGTCAAAAATTGCATTATGAATATGGAAAAAAAAAGTATATGTTGCTTCAGCATATAAGTCACAGGACTGACAAATCTATGCAAAAAAAACAGCAAAAAACTGTGACTTATACAACGGGAAAATACGATAAATGAAACGTGTAAAAAGAGAAAGTTTTGGAATTGCAGCTTCAACAAACATCAGTTCTTGTATCTTGATCTTTGAATGAATCTTTCTGAGTTAAAAACCCTGAACCAACGGGACAGTTTCACGTCAAAGATTACATTTTACATAAAACAAATTAAAAAAAAAGTCACCTGTTGTAGGACAAAAAAAAACTGCAAAATTTGATCAAAGTTCTTCACTATTGTCATTTTTCAGGTATAAGAAAATACATGTTTTGATTTTGCTCGTGCATCAACAACCTGAATAAATCAGAGCTCCACCTAAAACAGGTTATGGGACAATAATGTCCACAAAAACTGTTGGACACGTTGCTCTCTGAGTGGAGACAACACAAGAAACTTCCAGCAACAAGCAAGAACAGACAATTATTTTAGATTACAGATCTCAGCTGTGTCTCCAAAACTAAACCAGAGACATATTCCAGCATGCAGCGGTCGAGTAAAGGAGGTCTGGACTTTGTGCAGGAGCGTCATGGTCTTAGAGACGCTGTAGAAAGACAGAGTACCTGCTCTGTGGTCCAGGTACACTCCAACTCTGGACACAACACAAGCTGAGGCGGGAGTTCTGAAACCTCTGTGACAAAACTGATAATTGTTTCCGTAACAAACTAAAGCCCAGGATTGATCGTCGCATCCAAACGCACTCCCTGTTTTAACAACATCCTTGTACGCGACTGCTACCACACATCCTGTTCCTCTCCACTTCACCTCCCAGTAACAACGTCCAGTCAGACTCTCCTTACTCAGAATCTGAGGAGGCAAAATGAATCTCTCTGGATGATCAGGATAAAACTGATTTTGAAGCGTTAAGGTTACTTCCCTGTTCCCCTCAGATAACAGCTGACTGTTGGCTGTGTTTGGATCCAGAGTGAGCTCACATGAGTATCTGAAGAAGTCCGCTCTGCTCTTTGGTTCTGGTTCTGACAGTAAACCTTCAGCCCCTCTCAGTGAGATGTTTGTCCATGTGTCTCTCAGAATGTCCTGCAGTTTGTCTCTGAGCTCCTCCACAGCTGCTGTCACATCTTCAAAGTATCTCAGAGGACCATCATCGATGCTGGATGAGCGTGGAGACTCGAGTGCTGACACTGACTGGTAGTTGTGGATAAACTGGTTGTGGTCCTCTGTGTGTGAGAGCTGCTTCAGCTCTGCATCTTTCCTCTTCAGCTCAGAGATCTCCTGCTCCAGCTTCTCCTGAAGCTCCAAGACTCGACTCACTTCAGTTTCCTGCTGGGATCTGATCTGCTGCTTCACTTCAGAGATTCTTTTCTGGACGAGCCGGATGAGCTCACTGAAGATCTTCTCACTGTCCTCCACTGTTTTATCACCAGAGACGATGATGGCCTCCAGCTGCTGCTGAAGCTGCTTCACATCTTTCTCTCTGCTCTGGATTCTCTGCTGGATGTCCTCTCTCCTCACCTGGAGCTCCTTCTGCTTCCCTCTCCTTTCAGCTGCAGCTGAGACGATGTCGTGGCCTTTATGTTCATCCACCACGCAGACATTGCAGATGCTCTGCTGATCAGTGCGACAGAACATCTTCATCACCTCATAGTGACGAGAGCACATGTTCTCATGGAGCTTCTTGGAGGGCTTCACCAGCTGATGTTTCTTTAACTGAGTTACATCATAATGAGGCTGGACGTGTTCCTCACAGTAAGAGACCAAACACGTCAAACAGGACTTGATGGCTTTTAGTTTTCTTCCAGTGCAGACATCACAGGACACATCTTCAGTTCGAGCACAGCTGTGATCAGCAGGAGCAGCTTGGAGTCCACTCGTCTTCAGCTGCTCCACTAAAGCTGCTAGCATGACGTTTTTCTCCAGAACAGGCCTCGGTGTGAAGGTCTTCCTGCACTGAGGGCAGCTGTGGATCTTCTTCTGATCCTCTCCATCCCAGAAGTCTTCAATACACTTCATGCAGTAGCTGTGTCCACAGGAAGTAGTCACCGGATCCTTCAGTAGATCCAGACAGATGGAACAAGAGAAACTTTCTCTGTCCAGATGAACTCCTTTCTGCGCCATTTCACCTCTCAGCGTCTGTGGAAGTTTCACTTCCTGATCACTGAAACCAGTCTGAGCTCGTATCACAACATCTTCGTCATGTGTTTGCGCAGAGAATGAGGCGTGTCAGCACCTCCACTGATCCTTCAACTGTGGAGATGATGGGGAGGGAACGAGAAACTGTGAACAGAGTGATGCTGCTGTTTGAGAGCAGGATGGAGGAGGAGGAGGAGGAGGAGGAGGAGGAATCAGCAGAAACTTCAAGGTTGAGTTTCAATAAGAGAACAAAACTTTTCTTTCATCTTCATAAAGCAAATGCTTTCATTTCAAATATAATGAATTTAATGATTTAGCACCTTAAAACTTACTATCATATCCTTTGATGCCCAAAAAGAATTTGACTGAGTGTCCTGGAAATATCTATTTCAAATGTTGAATTGTTTTGGATTTGGTCCACACTTTGTTGGCTGGATTCAAACACTCTACTCATTTCCATCAGAACAGGGATGCAGACGGGTGCTCACTCTCACCCCTTCTGTTTGCTATTAGTACTGAACCATTTGCCCAACTCATTAATTCAATTCAGTTTATTTATAAAGCGCCAAGTCACAACAAATGTCATCTCAGGG